AATGGCTGGTCTTGCAAATGTAGTTGTTCACATTTTTGAGCATCTTGACTCAACAAAGCTGCATGCTGGACCAGTTGCTTTTTCATCAATGTGCCAAAGCATGAACAAAAGATCCTTATGTACTCTTGATGATTTACAAAGACGGTGGGGATCTTAATACATGGGATGGTTCAGGAAGTGCCATGTTGAGAGCCTTGTTATTTGGTTGATTGATTTAGCTTATGTTTGAATACAATACTGTCTTATCGTGGCCGAGCGGGAGGCTCTCCTGACAGCTTTCTGCTTGTTGGTGCATTTGCCTCAAAGAAAGTAATTTAGTAACATCAGACTGAAACTTGTTTACACTATCTCCTCTCCTCCTTTCACAGGGAGTCCATATACCATTTGTGAGGTGCATTAACGCCCGCCAAGTGCACAATCACTTGGAAATTGAGGCAACTGCTCTAGAATAATGGCTGAGCTTGACTGAGGGCTGTATAATAAATGACTGAGTCTTGTGGTACTTTTCAGTGGACATCCACACAGTAACCATTAGTTTCCTAAGTGCACTTTTCCCCGCACTTCTAAATTGATTGAAACAAAATGTCACAATTATGCCCTGTAGCTGAAGCTTTAATTATTCATCAATTAGCGTCCCCACCCCCTTCCTTTTTTTCTGAACTGATTTTTCATTCAGTTTGCAGAGATGTATGGTTCCCCTGCTGTTAACCAGTCCAAAGTCATTAGTTTCTGGCTTTGCAATTAAACCTGCTGCATTATTCATCAGGCCCAACTCGGTAGACTCTGCTCAGAGCTCAGGAGGCCTGCATGAGAAATTAATTTGGAGAGATGAAGTTTCCTCTCAGGTCAGAACAGATGCCATTGACCCAAACAGAGGTATGGAGTGCTTTCATTGAAGGGAATTATAATGCCAAGTGTAAAGCCAGACTATAGAAAGGGGGAAAATCTGAATGGGGAAAGAAAGAAAAATCAAAATTGGGCATATCCTGTGGCGGAGTGCTTCAGATTACTTTAAAAAAAAAAAAAACTTTTAAAATCAACTCCACTGGAGAGGAATTGTATAATGACTACATATAGTATAAGTCATATTGTGCACTTAAGAATGATTAAAATAAACATTTTATTTCACTGTAATATAAAAATCGCTTAAATTTTTTAAAAAGGTAAAGCATAAAAGATTCTGATAAATGATAGAAAACTGCATGACATTTAAATCTAACATAGAAGCATACTGATGTGTATTATTGTGAGAGCCATAAAAAAAATACTGTATGACTGGAATGATTCACTTCTGCAGATGTCAATCTGACAGCCAGATTAAAGATCGACAGTGATCAAATGTTGCCATCTGCTGGTGTATCGCAAAAACATCAACTATTCATTCTTTATAATAAACAGAGATTTAGAAAAAAAATGATCATGATCAATCATGGGGTAAAAAGATGCAATTTTAAATTTATAATCGTACAAGCCCATAGTATTGGTGGTCATCTCTGTTGAAGCAGTCGTAGGAACACAGCAGAACTCTGACTGGAACAGACTGAGAGCTTTTCATCCCCATGTGCTGTTCAAAGACAAAACTGACTCTGATTACTAAAGGATAGTCTAATATTCTCTTGTACTTTTATTGACATGCAATGTGGATCATACAGAAAAAAAAGTAGTAACATATTGGCATTGTTGTTTTGGCTAAAATGTACTAATCAGGGGCATAAGTTAAAATGTGACCGTTTATCTTTGTTGATTCAAATAACAAATGTTGTGTGTGTGCCTGAGGCATATCAAACACCTATTATGCAAGTGTGAGGTTGTCAAACTATTAAAGTGTCATCAAACATCTTGAGTGAAGCATGTCTTGCCAATTTTCAGCGACAGCACTTCTTCTGTGCCCTGAATGCTGAACACTGGTGTTATGCAGAATGAGCTGATACCTTCCTGGTGTTGATGAACTGCACACACTCCAGCCAGGTGGTGAGGAAGGGCTGTGAGCACAGAGCACACTGGCCCCAGTGAGACAGCATGTCCTGCAGCTCTGGGTACGCTGGCAGAGCTCTGGATACCACTGACAACTCATTAGTGCTCTGCTGGAGGATCAGCCTGGCTGAGAGTTCCTATACACATGAAACTACAATCAGCAGCACCATGGAAATGTTCTAGTTAAAACTAACCATTTCAAGATGCTTATTTCTAATGACTTCAAATTGTTTTCCCACTACTAACATCCTCTATTGGAATATAGCAAGACAGCAATCAGATTTGTGCAAGAATGTGCAAAAATAATAAATATTTTAAAAGATTAAAAAATAGTTACCTTTAATGAGAGGACTTCTTTCTCTTGAACAGACTCCATCAATGTGAATGGAACTAAACCGTTTCCTTCAAAGAATAGTTCCTCCAATGTGAGAAACTGAAACTAAACCGAGAGAGAGGAAATATTTTTAAAATATCATAAAAATATAATTTTATAATTATTAATATAATTTTACATAGTATATGACTTCATGAACAAAAGTTAACATTAATTCTATAAAGCCAACTGTATTGTATTTAATACGCAAAGGCCTGTAAATGATAAAAACTTTGCTGAAAACCGTTCTACTCAATCTACTACATGCCTGCTGTTTATTCTTTTTAAGCACATTTTATATCGTTAGTAATATTTCAAGATGAAAAGATTACTGGACTGAAGAAACTCGATTATTTTTACTTTACTTTGCACATACAAGTAAAAGTACAGAGCTTTGACCTGCTAATACTTTGAATGATCTGCTATACTGTTATAATCTCACAAAAGCCTAATGTATCAAATATGATACTCAAAAAAAAAAAGTTTCTTTATTTCTTTTTGTTTTAGTGACTTCTGTCTGTTTTCCTGTCAGTCTTCACAGGATTACAATTAATCACAGATTTTTAGGGGGGCTGAAGTCCCTCTAATTAACATTCAGAACCAACTACATATTTCAGTATAATCAGCTTATTTTATCAGCACATTGCCAAAATTATTAGTAAATAACTAAAACATTTAAAATAGCAATTGAAATGGCTGGCAATTTGTCCAAATAACTTACACCAACTGGAAACACAGATAAACGATTTCCGGCAACATCCAAGATCTTCAGATTTTTCCAACCAAGAGCGCCCTAAACAAAGAACAAACACATAAACTAATATGCATAAAAATTGGGTAAAGTACGAAGAAGTCATCTGTCTTGCCTCTGGTAGTTCTGTCAGGTTGTTTCGGGCCAAATACAATTTCCTCAGCTGTGATAAATTGTATAACTGCTGTGGTATTTGAGTCAGTTTATTATTAGTGAAGTTAATCTCAGTCAAACATTTCATCAAGACCAGTTCAGCTGGAATCTGCTGCAAAAGATTGTGACACTGATGCTTTTTAGACTACACAGCCTGCAAATAAACAAGAAGCATTTCGAAAATCAGATATCATGATAGTCAAATAGCAAAGAGGGGGGATACAAGTGTAAAAGAGGTCAAAACGTCAACCGACTTGAATCATCTCACCTTTTTATTTCTGCAGGAATGACGTTGATTCTATTGTGGTTCAAATTGAGAAGCTCAAGGTTTGGTAGACCCTCTGCAAATACAACAACACAACGCTATCAGCACTACTGACCCGCTTCAATCAAATAAACCTGAATAAGAAAGAGTCTGATCTTACCCAGCACCTCTGGTGGCAAATGGCTGATTTTGTTTCCATATAAATAAAGTTTATTTAGACAACTGAAGTGTTTTAAAAGGGGTGGGATCTCCTCAAGAACATTATTTCCCAGACTGAGCTCTGTCAACTATAAATATACAATGAAAATGAAAGTATTGACTATACACAATGTATGCATAGAAGTTAATCTAAGTTAATTATCTTCTATGATTCATGCAAATCATAGAATTCATTTATTGTGCTGTTTCCAATGTTTTATTGTTAGCCAAAGTAGTTTTCTTCTGTTCAATATGGTTCATATTTTGTTTTGGGCTCTTAACATAAAATAATAATATTAGTATTAAAAAGTATTAAAACTATGATACAGATAAAACGAACTCACCTTCTGCAAACACATCAGTTCAGACGGCAGACTCGACAGGTAATTATTATTCAACTTTAATACAACAATCCGTGTCAGCCTCGCAAAAACTTCTGGAAGATGTGTAATTTTCCTAGAGCTCAAATTAAGGGACTTTGATTTCGTTTTTAATGCTTTGATAATTGAGTCGTTTGCCATTTGACGCTTGCATCGCTAACTTTCCCATAGACCGTACTTTCCCCACGTTTCCATGGAGATGCAACGCAGTTTCTCACGTAGTGTTGACTGGCGGACTAACACGAGAATAGCATGCTGTCATTGTAGCCTCAATACTGACCACAGACGAGAACATCAAGATGTGTAGCACTTTCCACGATTAGTGTACAAAATAGGACCTGAAACGTTAAAGACTATTACATCCCTGATTTGAGTGATGTTGCGTTTTTCTTTTTTTAACAACAAAAAAAAGAGATTACTTGTCTTCACATCATGATTTGAAAGTGTCCAAATAATGTTTCTTCCATGTAATAATTTTAAGGAATTTTACATTATTTTGCAATGGGGGAAATCATGTAGTAACAGGGTTTGTAGGAATACAGCTAAACATTAAATTTTGGTCATTTAAAATTAATATCTTGTGTGTTTACTACAATAAATTGAATATCCATTGAATAGACTGTGAAAATTATGAAGTGATATTTTAATTGTTGGATAGTCTAACCTCGGATATATTTTTCCTGCATTTTAAAGTGGGCGACTGTATTTAATATGATGTTATTTAACACAAACGCTTTTCATTAATAGAAAGTGATCTTTTATTTAATGACGTAAGCATGACCATAATCCAGCACCTCTTACGGAGATAATACATTGGGACAATGTTGCTTGGGCACTTTCCCTTTGAGAATGGGCAACAAATTGCTATCTGGATACTTTAGATCAGTTGTGGGCTGTCTCTCACCTGGTTGCCCGTTGATGGCAAGATTGGCCAGCAACATTGCTCAAAAAGTTGCCCCGTGTATCATTACCTTCCAAGTAAATTGCTTGCAGATATGCAGTTTTCAAGAATAACACAAAGCACATAACAGTTTATTCATGAATAACACTGGCAAAGCATGGACTATTACATTAAGCTTGTCCACTGCAATTGAAGTCACCAGCATGTGTTATTTCATCATCCTCTGTGAGCATCCTGACCGAATCCACTGATCCTAGCAAAACAGAATCAAATTCCAGAAGGTCCACTTCTACAGGCTAATTATGCACAGATGCATATATGAATGTGTCAGTGATTGGCTCAGCCCTCTTCCTCATTTGCCAAGTCTTTCAGAGGCTCCACAGAGTTGTAGTGCTCACCAAGTCCACACGCATGCCGCATATAACTGAAAGGGGCAGTGAAATGCGTTTTAGTACAGCAGTGGAGAAATGAACTTTTTGTACAAATTTATATTTTTAAATAAATAAACATCTTTAGTCATTTAGACGAGTGTGATTGGTGGCTTGACATATTCTTCACCAATAATAATAGAGGGCGATTCTGCCTGAATGACTTCTATCGGTAGCTGTAGGACCTGTGAAAGGGCTTTTAACTGACATGGAGAAAATATAAAAAACATTGATATAAAAAAAGGCAAATGGTGGATTATGACTTTTTAATGTGCACTTTATACATATTGTCTGATATTCTTACCTCTAACTGTCCGCCCCAAGCAGCTGTGTCTGCAACATCATTGCAGTACTTCTCAAACTCATCTAAAGTAAAAGTGAATCCAGAGTTAACAACAAAATCCATTCATATCATGTAACAACAAGCATTTAGAATTTGACATACTTCTGCGCATATCCATTCAAAAATAATGGGTGCTGAAAATTCCGCTTTGCCTTTACAGGAATAAATTACATTTTAAAATATTAATATAAAAATCAGTTATTTGAAATTGAAATAATATTTCCGTTTTAACTGTGTACACTGTATTTTCGATCATATTCTGAAGTGTATGATAGCCAGTATGGCATTCACCAGCAGTGTACATGTCTCCTGAATTGGGGTCAGTGAGGAACGGAAGGAAGTCATCTGCATGGCTCCTCATGTACTGAGCTGTTTGAGCCCGAAGCTCTTTAAGGCTGAGAGTGGCGCCTCGCTCCGTCAGCTGATCCTCCACGGCGCGGTACATGCAGTGACCATCAGAGGAGATCTCTCTGATCTGCAGGTGCCTCTCCATCAGCTTCTGTCTCAGCTTCAGACCCTCCTGATGACGGGAGCCAGTGAGATTCTCCACTTCCACCTCAGCAATCTGGCTCTCCAGCGCCTTCTCAAAAGCAGCCTTTTTGTCCTTAAAACACCAAGAATTTTCAGTATCCTTTAAACTACAGCCACCCAACATGAAAAAGTTCTTACCCGTCTCTTCTGGGCTTTAGATGTCCGAGTTTGCTTGCTTAAATCGTTATTTTTCCCATCACTATTTCCCAAACTCAGGAAATCCACTGCATTTGAAACCTCCTGCACCTTGGAACAATCCATGATATGAGTAGAAGTGAACTGCACTCATATGTATCTAACGTGAGTTTCTAGGTAGGGTGTTTAAACATCTAACAACAAAATAATTTCACTTACCAAGGAAGAGTTCTGAAGTTGTTCGAGCTCATTTTCGATGTTTTTGAGTGAGTTCTAACTCTAGTTTGGGATGTCTTCAGTCAGCTGTTTCCTCCTCTTCTTGTCATTTTTGGGAACAGCATTTTTCATACTTTGTATTTTTGCTATGACACCAAGAAGACTTATTTAGTATGCACTGTACACATATTTTGTTTCGTTTATAAAATCTTAGTCTAATAAATGCTTTATTTCTATTTAAAGATAGTAATAGTGTCTTACCTTGCAAGTCTTTCTTTTCATTGCGATGCTGTTTAGCTAACAGCTCCTCTGCTGTCTCCACTTCCTCCATGTCAAAATTAAAGAAACATTCAGAGCAATAAAATGGAGCTAAACCATAAATATATTACTCATTTCCATCAGTTTGCGTTATTGCTCGACAAGGACTGAATTGCGGTTTCAGCTCACAGAAATCAGTTGATTCTCAGTTCCATTGATCTGCAAGTCGTCTTCTTCTTCTTCTTCTTTCTTCTTCTTCTGTGATTTGCGGCAGCTTAGACGCTTCAAAGGCGTACTGCTCGATCTGCATGCCAAGCGCAGGGATTCAATGGAAACACATCCGGGAATACAACATTTCAAAATAAAAGCCGTAGATACTCGAACTGTTTTCCTCTTGGTATTTTGGTAATATAATGGTTTAAAATGGCATAATAAATAATTCCACTAATTTAAACCACTAATTTACAAAAGCGCCTTCAAATCAGTTTCTTATTTGTGCCCCGAATTATTTTGAAACCGTTGACAAGTGGCAAAAGTGTTGCCATGACCGCCTATTATAAGTAACTGGCGATTCTTTATTCTTAATAACTTATAAAAGTATATAGTCGTGGGTCGCGTTTTTTGGGGGGCTCATTTCCAGGAGACAATCGTATATTTGAGCTTGCTAGTGTTTGGTCTCCTAGAACGATACAATTAACAACTAATAGCAGTTATGTCTCCACCAGCGGTTCGAGCTTAACTCGATATAATGTCATTAGTCATCTTTTTAGTCTTTACAAGCTCCTCCAGGTTCAGTGATGCGTAATAAACAATACATAACATATAAAAAACGGGGTCACACATTTTGGTGCGGTTGGTCGCTTTATTTTGGGGCGTATTTAATCATTATGTGTGCTTGTTTTCCAAGTGAAATCTGGCAACACTGTAAGACGGAGCTAATCGAAAATGTTCGTTCGCTTTCAGCGCTTACGACTGATCGACACACTCCATGCGATTATAATGTCTGACGTTCAATTCATGTTGACAGTTTTAGCATACTGGCTTTATCACAGATTCATTTAAATAAGGGATCATTTGTAGTAGAAGCGAGGTTTCTGCAGTCTCGCAGGAAATGTTGGGAAGCCAGGGGATTCAACCTGTCACGCTAGTCTTCAATAACTCCAAAAACTGCTTTCTTCAGCTGTCATCAAACTTCGCCACTCATCTCTGTCTTCAAGAGGTTTGTATCCAGCTAGCTGCTTTATAATATATGCATGCCAGTTACTAGTCTACCACTGTACTGTGCTTCTCTAAGTGCCATCATAGTTTAGAGTCATGTAACACTAATGTGATGTCAGAACCAGATCCTGGAGCTGTCATGGGGTGTTTCTGCACCCGTGTTCCTCAGCTGGATCAGGACCGGGTCTTCAGGTCCAGAGGGCAGAGTTGAGATCTGCAGACAACTGGGAGAGAAACTTGGGCTCAAGGAGGGAGAACAGGTTTGTCACTGTTTAAAGGGATAACAGTTAGTCCACCCTAAAAACATTTCCTCACTCTCATGTCAATCCAAATATGTTTGCATTTCTTTCTTGTGCAGAACATGAAAGAAGAGATTCTGAGGAATGTTGGTAACCAAACAATTAACAGTATGGACAAAAAAATGGAAGTCAATGGGAACTGAAACTGTCTGGTTACCATCATTCTTCAAAATATCTTCTCTCATGTTCCAAAGAAGAAAGAAGGTCATATAGGTTTGAAATGACATGAGGGTGAGCAAGTGGTGCTATAATTTTCTTTTTTGGGTGAACTATCGCTTTAATATGCCACAAGTGATTTGATGGAGCGTGAATGTCGATCAGTGGTTCTCAAACGGGGGGCTTAAGATGACTTAAATTGATTTGAAATAAAACAAATCAGGCATTAAACTGATGCAGATGCATGTAACAAGGTTGTGATGTGTTGTAGGGGTATCTGCGGCCATGTCATCAGGTGCAGTCAGTGCAGCAGGTGTTCGTAGAGCCTCTATCTCCAGATGACTGGGAGATCTTGGTGAGTTCACAATGGCTTAATTTATCTCTTTTTTAATTCTCTAGGAGATGTTTACCTGATATTTAGTGATATATGTCCATTAAAATGCATATACAGTAACTAGAAATCTACACATTTCTGGTCTTGCATGATTCATCTGTGCATGACTCCTTCATGATTCACTGCCACCTTGCATTAATGTCTTGTATGAAACTCACACTTTTCATGATCTAATCAATTCTATGCTGTATCCTGTCGAACATTTTCTCTTGTTAAATGTCCTGTTTTACTTGTAAAATTATGTCAGATTACAGAATTAAAATGGGTTGTGAATGTCGTTTCGGTCTAAAATCTGATTGAACCTTGTTCCAGGAGCTGCACAGCATGGCTCTGGAGCAGCGACTCTTGGATCAGATCCGAGTGGTCTTCAGTGAGGGTGTTTTTCCTGTGTGGGTGGACCAGCACACTGTCATCTATATCAGGATAGGTCAGTCAGCCCTATTTTATAGGCATGTCACATTGGAGTTGTTGGGTATGAACTGATCTTTTTACACTAATGATTGTATTTTTTCTAGCATCCCTCTCTCCATCTGTTCCATTCGGCCGACTGGAGCAGTTCACTGAGCTTGTTGTCTCCCCAAAACTACATCCAGGAGGTGATCAACTGCTCCAACCTCGATCAGAAGAGCCAAGCCAACATCTACAATACCAGAACATTGATGTCACATCTTCCTCCAGCTCAGTCGTCCATCAGGATCCCATCAGTGATCATCTGGAGAGTCAGAATGAAGGCCATTGGGGAGGGATAGCTGATCTGAAAAGCCTGGTTAGATACCTGTTTACAAGAGGATTTGAGCCTGCAAAAGAGAATCTTGCGGTTCCCACAATCCCCACCATCCTGAAAGACTGTATCCTCCGGACCATTGGAACCCCTCCTAGGTCTGTCAGCCATCTAGGCTCATGTCATGGAGATGTCCATATACTGCCATGGAATCTGCAAGAGCAAGAGAACTGGAATCCAGGGCAGTCTGCACTAACATACGGCAGGCTTTCAAAAATCCTTTCTCCTAAAGAACTCAGGGAGAAAGTCAAGCAGGTCATGGAGAAGAAGAAAATCAGAGATGGACTTCACAAAAGGAACGACACAGAGGAACATAAGGAGAACGCTGTTGTGGTCAGGATGCTTTGTCACAATATAAAAAGGCTGCAGGAGGACCAGAAATTCAATAAATGTGAAGAAATTTACTCTGGGAGAGTTTGGGTAAGTTGTTCCATTCAAGTTCAGATATAATGTTTCATAGAAATATTCTTTATCACCATAATTTCTAGGGATGGGATCTTTTCACTTTGGCCAGTAAGAGACCACCTAACAATCAACCAGAACACCATAGTACTTGTATAACAATGTGATAAAAACACCTTAGCAACCGTCTGGCAAATCCCTGTTAAAATATTTAAAAATGTTAAACATTTAGAAATAGAAACTCCATAATCAATAGTCAGATAATTTTTACATTTAGATTACCATTATTTAACTTTTTCTTAACTTATTAATTTAATGACAGTGTTAAATGTAATCTTTAGCACATACTTTAAAATATCATTTATTTCTGTGATGCAAAGCTGAATTTCCATCAGCCATTACTCCAGTCTAAAGTGTCACATGATCCTTAAGAAATCATTATAATATGGTGATTTATTATTAGAATTATCAATGTTGGCAACAGTTGTGCTGCCAAATATTTTTTTGGAAACTGCGATACTTTTTTCAGGATTCTTTGATTAATAAAATGTTAAAAAGAACAGCATTTATTCTAAATATAAATATATATCAATTAGTACAAATAAATGATTTTTTTTTTTTTTTAAATAGGCTGATAACCGAATTAGTGCAGATATATTGTGCATCCCTAGTAAAAATAAAAATATAGTTAAATTTTTTTTGTTGTTGCAGATCCCAAAGGTGCTGCAGAGGCGTTTGAGGATAGACCCTCGATCAGCTGTGAGGATTCAGCCTTTGAAATCAAAGCCAAGAGTTGCAGAAGCAGTCATGGTGCAACCATTACAACCGTTGGTAAGTTTTTCTTTCAGACTTGATGCTTTATGTTGTCAGATAATGAAAATATTGTATTGTAAACTTATTTCCTTTCTGTTTGCAGACAGTGAATGAAAAAGAAGAAGATATTCAAACTGCGTTCCTCAACTGGTTACATGCTCGGAGCCATCAGCCTTTGACCTGTCTGACAGGCCGCACTAACGTCATTCTCTTACCCTGTGCTGAAGGTGTGAGGAAGAACCATCAGAATTTATGTTTTCAATCATATTACTATTATTACAGACTAAACTGGGTTTCTCTCTTCTCAGGAAAAGAAGAGTTTGTCTTGACTGTGCTGAAACCAGAGCAACAGCAAGAGGATGAAATGTTCTTTCTATCAACAAGTTTACTAAAGAAAACAAATGTGCAGGTATAAAGTCAAATGTTGTTTTTACAAATTAATTTTTCTGCTCCTGCCTTAAACCAATCTCTGTTTAGATTGTCAGAGAGCCACATGATTCTGACCACAGCGGCTCTGATAATGTTAATAAAGATCCACATCTTGGCTTTCCCTCCCTCAGCTCTCTTGGGTATGCTTGTATTCTTTTTTAAAACTGAGAAACATCAATGTATTTTTTTATATCCTTAGCAGAAAACAAGATTCACTTTCTGATGAGTCGGTGTAGCCGTTCTTTGTTGTTTGTGATTGAATCTGTTTGCTCAGTGGGGTAGAGGACATCAGCAGGTCTGCTTTTGAGCACATCTCTCACGCTCTAATGGGAGGTCCTCTCTCGCGGGAACTGGTCTCCACAGGACGGGGACTGAGGGGTGGAGCTCTGCTCATCACAGGTGCAAAGGTAACCTTCAGACACATATGCTACAGTCTTTTCAAAGTCAGATGGGGGATACTTCTGCTTGATATATCTCCTTATGCATTAAGGCAATGCAAGCGATTGTTTTTCAGGTGTTTGATTATCAACAAGGAACATTATTCAAGATCATACAGTATAGATCTGTCTCTGTAAATATTTTCTAAGGAGCTTTTATTGTCATTTCATGTAGGGAATTGGACTCATTGATGTATTTAACTTGTTTAAAAGTGATTAAGCAAAATAACTGTGTGTCCACACATGCTGCCATGTTTGCTTGACTTCATACACTGCTGTTTGAAATTTTGTGGTTTGTGTTTTTGAAAGAAGGCCTGTGATGCTCACCAAGACTGCATTTATTGGATCATCAATACAGTAAAATATGCATTAACATTGTAAAATGATATTACAATTTTAAA